TCCACAAGTCTTAAAGTTGCCAAGTTTGGAGGCCTCTGGTCTAAAGTGTTGACTGGTGAATTTGACTGATCAATACAGGTAGTCCTTGATTTATAACACTTCACTTAGTGACTGTTCAAAATTACAGCAGCACTGAAAAAAAGTGACTTAGGACCGTTTCTCACACTTACGACCATTGCAGCATCCCCCATGGTCACCTGATTTACACTCGGATGCTTGACAACTGATTCACATTTACGGCCATTGCAGTGTCCAAAAGGTCGTGTGATTCCCCTTTTTGCGACCTTCTGACAAGCAAAGTCCATGGGGAAGTCAGATTCACTTAACAACCGTTGTGACTGATTCGAGAACCGCAGTGGTCCACTTAACAACTGGGGTGAGAAAAGTCGTAAAATGGGGACAAAGTCACTTGACAAATGCTTCACTTGGCAACATAAACGTTGGGTTCAAGTGTGGTCATAACTCAAGGGTAATTTCATCTGGGACTTGCTCTGTACCTCCAACTTTTCTTGTTCCATGGCAGTGGTGGCAGAGAGGGACAGTATGGTTTCGTGCACGGAACGTAATGCCGTACATCGGGGGCTCCAACCTTGGCAAATTGAAGACTTGTGGTCTTCAACTCCCAGTGGAGGGAACTGGGGAAGGACAAGGTTCAGCTGGGCAGAGCAGGGAAGAGGTAGAACAAGGGAGATGGAGTTCAGAAGAAGACCCAGGCTCACCCCCCTCTTCATCCTAGGGCATGCAGGGAGGAATGATGAAGAGAGAAACGTGGGTTGTGTAGCTAATGGGGGAGAAAGAGGCCCTGATTCCCTTCATTAGCCACACCTGGGAAGGGAGTTTAAAAGAGATGCATGTTGAGTGCGGCGTCTGCTGGGAACAAACGTGTTAACGTTGGTTATCTGAGTTCCTGGCGTCCACCCAACCGTGTTGAATTACTATCGTTCCTTCACATCTGGAATTCCTTCTCTTGCCCTGCCGGACTAATTACCTCATCTTGCCTTGATTGGACTTATGGTTACAGTTTTTGTTGACCACATTTTGGATTCTCTGCAGTCAAAGGCTCTTCCTAGGAGAGCTTTTCTCCAGCCAGAAGGTAACCAGGACATCGGGGGCAAAGTTGGGGCTAATAAAGGGACTCCTACTGATTATCTGTGTTGCCGTTGTGCCACGCCCCGGGTCATCACAACGGGCCATGGACTAGTACCAGTCCATAGCTGTCCTGGATGGGTGAAGTGGGAAGACCCCATATGAAGGCTGGCTTGGTCTGCATGGCATGGGCCAGGGGAATCCTAACTGGTTTCTTCTTCTCCTGCACTTTTTAAAATCCGACCAGAAAGTAACATACATCCCCATTAATAGTTTAGGTTTCCAAGGCATTTAGACTTAGACTGTCTTCTCCTATCATATTCAAGAGTGATGTAAACTCATTAAAAGTATTCAAAGATTATTACACTGGTCATAAAATCTGTACTGTGATGGCTGTTCAGTTATTTATTTTTTTCCGGTGGCTCATCACCATTATCTTCCTCCTCCTCTGTAAACTAAACCATACAGGTAGTCCTCGACTTACGACCATTCATTTAATGACCATTTGAAGTTACCAAGCACTGTTGCAGCGACCCTCAGCGTCACATGATCAAAATTCAAATGCTTGGCCACTGGCTCCTATTTAAGACAACTGCAATGTGCCGGGATCGTGGGATCCTCTTTTGCAAATTCCTTGCAAGCAGAGTAGCCAGGTTCCCTTAACAACCATTGTTACTAACCTAAAAACTGCAGTGATTCGCTTAGCAACGGTGGCAAGAAAGATTGTAAAATGGGGCAAAGCCCCAGAAATGTTGGGCTCAGTTGTGGTCTTAAGTCCTAAGTCTATAAGACCACAAAACTCACTTAACAACTCTTTTGCTTAGTAGGAGATATGCCTAATAATATATGTGATTACAGCAGTAAGCAGTTTTGCCCGAAGATGGAAAAACAGAAATTCCCAATGAAAATGATGTAATAAAAAAGATACGGACATGCACGGAGATGGACAAATTAATCTGGGAAATGAAAGACAAAGACGAGATAGAATACTATGAAGCTGGGCTCCTTAAACTTGGCAGCTTTAAGACTTGTGGACTTCAACTCCCAGAATTTCTCCTCCAGTCATGTTAGCTCAGGAATTCTGGGAGTTGAAGTCCACAAGTCTTAAACTTGTCACGTTTGAAGACCCTTGCTATAAAGTATGGGATAAATTCTATCAATGGTGGGAAAAAAGGAAGGATCTAAAATCAAAAGAGAATAAAGGATGGCAAAATGGAGGACTAAAATTAGGAAATACCATAGAAATGTATAGCTGTATAAATGTATTTAAAATATGTCTCTTATGCCATAATATGTATGACAACCAGGATTGTCGGGATGGTTACACGACGTCCAATGTTTTTAATACTTAATAAAGTTTTGTTGTTTTTTTTTTTAAAAAAACCCAACTCTCTTGTTAGCAGTGGAACATTTGGGCTCAATTGTAAATCGTTGTATGTCGAGGATTACCTGTATAGCTTAATGTCGTTCCATTATTCTGAATCATTATCAGTCCGTAATTCTGGAAAGTGCAGTTTGGAGATGCTGAGGTATCTCGCAGAGATCTCCATTCCAGCAACCCAAAATGTGTCCCAGGGGATGATAAACCAGCTACACTGAGCCCTGCTATCCGTATTTACTCCTACCGCACTGAACCAGAGCTAGTAAGCAGAACCCTCTCAGCTAGTAAGCAGAATTCCCTTACACCCTCCCTCTTCCTTTCCCCTCCCAGAATGCCAGTCAAATAAAGCAAAGACCCCATTACAAGAGTTTAGCCTCATACCCGACAAGCTAAATCCAGACTGGTGCAAATTCCTCACAGGGGGAGCCTGCTGTTTTGCTGGGGAAGTCTTGGCGGAGGAAGCTGGCGTGACCGTTTTTGGTGTCACCGACACTTCACAAACAGGGCCATCGTACAAACCGCGTGGGACACCCCTCAATTCAGCCAGCTTGGGGGAAAAGAGAGGAAGAAAAGAGTGAGAAATATCTGGCAATATAGGAATAAATAACCCAGTTGCTTTTGCTTGCATCCTATGCATCTTCCTACCTTCTCAAGTTGAAGTCCACAGGTCTAAAAGTCGATAAGTTGGACACCAGGCTGGGGAAATCTGGGAGCTGAAATCCGCAAGTCTTAAATGTTGCCATGGTTGGAACACCACCCATCCCCATTTTTAAGTATTTCTGCTTAAAAGCTAAAGGTTCCTCTCACACATACGTGCTAGTCGTTCCCGGCTCTAGGGAACGGTGCTCATCTCCGTTACAAAGCCAAAGAGCCAGTGCTGTCCGAAGACGTCTCCGTGGTCATGTGGCCAACATGACTAAATGCCAAAGGCACATGGAACGCTGTTACTTTCCCACCAAAGGGGTCCCTATTTTTCTAGTTGCATTTTTTTTACGTGCTTTCGAACAGCTAGGTTGGCAGAAGCTGGGACAAGTAATGGGAGCTCACTCTTACATGGCACTAGGGATTCGAACCGCCAAACTGCCGACCTTTCTGATCGACAAGTTCAGCGTCTTAGTCACTGATTATTTCTGCTTATGTTTTCCTTAATACAGTTAATACAACACCTTTAGCAGACAATGGCAGGCTACCTCAAGGTCTTCTGCTCTCCTAAACCCATAAGCTTTTGAGTCAGTCCACCAATAACTGGTGGAAGAACATCAAAAGTGTACCAGACTTCTTGCAAATGTTGGCCTGTGGGGACATTTGCCCCAAGGAGACAGACCTGGCACTATCCAATGAAATTTAAGGAAATTTCAAATATTCTGACAGGGACTTTGTACAAAGTACATTTGCTAAGAGATTCCAAATCAGAAGCATCAAAAGAATACATGGAAGACTAAATGTGGTCCTGGACTGAAAGACAGAATTTTTTTTTTTCTATCAAGAACTGCATCACTCTATCTCATTAAATGTGACTACAGAGAAGGGTAGAGAGAAGCAGGCTGCACATTTTGAGATATTAACTAATATTTTGTCAAGAAACTCAGCCAGCCTGCAGATTGGAAATTTAAGATCAGTCCAAACTCATAATTCTTGGCTATATTTCCATACATTTCCAACCATTTGATCAAAAGGATCCACAAGTTTCCAACAAAACAATCAGCTAATCTTCAAGATGTGCCCAACTGTTAGATTCTCCTTTGAACAGACCGGTTTTATATTTATTTTATAATTTTCAAGACCAGATCCATAAAGATGGGGACGATTCAAGCTACTTACCCTGCTTCTTGCTTTGATACGTTTGTAAACGAAGTCAGGGAAAGGTTTCCTAGGAATGTATCGGCCAGACCCCTCAGTTACGTGGAGATTACCATCCTCCAGTACAATTTTTCCTTGGCTGATAACCACTAAAGGAGACCCACGACACTCCATACCTTCAAAGATATTATACTCCACATTCTGGAAGAAAGAAGACGACAAGTCCACAGTTGATGAGAATCCGGCTCAAGGAAAATTGAGATGCTACTCCCCAAAGTAATGCATCCTTGAAATTTCATCTCTGGAATTAGCTGATACTTCCTAGACTTGTGGGGTCCTTGGTGGTCTCTGAGCTTGAGGGTTTTCTTGCAGTCATTTTATGACCAGACCAAGTAACATTATCGTCACTGATGATGTTACCTAGTTTGCTCATGAAACATGCTGTACATGTCCCTTGATGCTGTACATGTCTATGATGACCCAGGGCATGGCACAAAAGCAACAAAGTTGCAAAAGTAGGCAAAGTCCCTTTAAGACCTCCAACTTGGCCCCCAATGTCCAGTTATCATCGGCTGGAGAAAAAAACTCTCCCAAGAACAGTTTTTAAAGGGAAGAAATTCAGTACGAACCCAAAGTACGTATAAATTATAAATAAAAACCAACACAAACCACAGCTGCAGCAATTAACGAGACAGAGCAGGATAAGGAATTGCAGGCTTCAAAAGATAACGAAACACACACATTTGGGAGGACGCCAGGACCCAGATAAATCTTGACAATTAACGATAATGCATGCTTTGTTTCCAGCTAGGTGCTGTGCGCAAACACCCTTTTAAATCCTGTTTTCCCAGCTGCAGCTAAGGAAGGTAATCAGGGTCCTTTTTTCCCCCATAACTCATGTTGTTCCCTTCTCCGTTCCTCCCTGCGTGCCCTAGGATGAAGAGGGGGTGGGCCTGGATCTTCCTCTAAATGCCCAGTCGGACTGTGCCCTTCCCCAGTTTTCTCCATAGCCACCGGAGCCACACTCCCACTCCGTCAGCGACTCAATTTCCCACTCGGAATCAGACTCCAACCGGGGCATGACAATGTCCCTTGATCAGGTATAGTAATCAACGCAGATGATGTTCCATAGGGCAGGTGCAGCCATTGGAAAATTGTCATTCCCAGATCCTGCAAGATTATTCCACTACAGCAACTAGACCTGGAGTGAGCCAAGCCTACCAGAACTTATCAGAAGGGCAGAAACAGAACTCCAATGAGATACAAATAGTCCTCGGCTCACAACCATTCAACAGTACTGAAAACAATGACTTCCACTTGTACTTACAACTGTTGAAGTATCAAGGTAATGTGGACTAAATTCAGGAACTTGGCAACTGGCATATATTTATTTACAAGTTACAGCCTCCAGAGGTCATGTGATCACCATTTGTGATCATTTAGGAGCAGTGGTGATGCAGTGGTTGGAATATAGTATTGCAGGCTAACTCTTCCCAATAGAAAAGAGTTCAGTCCTGATCAGCTCAAGGTTGACTCAGCTTTCCATCCTTCCGAGGTCAATGGAGACCCAGATTGTTGGGGGCATTATATTGATTCTGTAAAAATGCTTAGAGAGGGCTGTAAAACACTATAAAGTGATACATAAGTCTAAGTGCTATTGCTAATGTGACCTTACAAGCTGGCTTCCAAAAAGCAAAGTTAAGGAGGAAAGGCGGATTTGCTTAACAATTACCTGATTGCTAACGTCTACGGTGGGTTGCCTTCTTTAGCAACAGAAATCCACGTCCCATATACTTCAGGTAGCTCTTGACTTACAACTGTGGTTGTTAGTCAAGGACTATGTCATGCCCCTGATGGAGACCGACTGTGAGGTAGAGGAGGAACAGGCTGGGGAAGGGCAGAGGCCGGCTGGGTAGTCAGAGGACCCAAGCCCATCCCCTCTCCATCCTAGGGCACACAGGGAGGAGAGCATAAGGGAGAGACATGGTCTGCAGGGGAGGAGAGGGCTTTGATTCTCTTCATGGGCTGCAGCTGTGACAACAGGAAGGACATGTGTATGGGTGAACACTGGAAACAAAGTGGGGAAATATCTCTAGTTAATTGTTCCTCTCTTGAGTTTGGTGTCCTTCCCAGTGTGTGTTCTGATATTTGTGGACATCTTCAAGCCCTTATCTTGCCTGGTTTTTACTATTTATAATTTAAACAGCAGTTCCTCCATCTTGTAACTGCTTGTGTGGGAGTTTTTTTTTGTCTCCAGTCAAGGATATTTGGAGCTTGGAAGCAAAGTGAAGGAATAAAAGGAGCTTCACCTGTTTTTTGTGACTGTGTTTATTTTGTATTCCATGTGAGTCATCACAGACTACCTGTAACTTTTTTTTTATTACACAACCAGACACTGATTTTCAGGGCTTAAAGTTCATTTTGCAAATGAGACAGCCAAGATACCGTTGTATCTTCCTTCAGGAACTTTCCAGGTTGAAGCTTTCCTCCTCCACACTGCGAAAGTGATCGGAACACATCAGAGTGAACCCCAACTAGCTCTTGACATCTTCCTTTGCAATCTTCTCCAATTTGTGTTCTCCAGGGTAGGTTACATTTGCCAACCTCCAAGTCTTAGGTCAGCAAACAGGTCCCAAAATCAAATTGACTGGATTTCTTTCTAAGGAAGTTTGGATACGGCAGGTTTTTTTGTACCTCACTATCTCTACACCTTGAACTTTTTTTGGAAAACAAACTTCAAAGAAAAATTGGCCAGTTTATTACTTTGGATGATTTTTTTAAAAAAGTTTTCTTCTAAGCTGGCTAAGATATTTCTGGAAGCCAGCTTGAAACCCAGCATCTGCTGTTTAGCCTTACCACCGCACACACATTTTGGTTTCAATATACTTTGCATTCTTATGCGTTCAATATACTTAAGATTCAAATACATTTCAACTTTGCATTCTTTCAGGTTTTACAACCAAACACCGATCACCCAAAGATATCTAACTGCATGATGGAATTTCCTTGTGAAAGGAGAGGTTTTAGAGAGATAGTCCATGTTGTCTTCACCCCAAATTCTTGTCTAGCGGAAATAACTGTGTCTTTGTAGTAGAAAAAAGAAGGTTCATACACAGAAAACACAGAAAATTTGATTTCTAAAAATTCTCTGGGCTTTTTGCCAGTAGCTCGAGGACATGTCAATAAGACAACAAAGCACTTGTTTGTTTGCCTTCTCTCTTTTTTTTATCTCAAGGCCAAAGAGGCAGAAAATGCTCCTATCAAATTGTCTAAAAGGTCAATTACAGCGTTTCTTCTTGGACCGTTTCTCCGCTTCTATTGCAGATCTTCGGGGAACGCCCTGCTCCTTTTCTACCAGGGGTTGAAATAGACAATGGAATCACTAAACTGAACCTCAAAAGTTATTTTCAATCTGATTAGTATTCTGTTAAATCGATAAATACAATGCAATTGTTTCCAAAAACACCTTCGGATTTAATAAAGGTGAATGTACATATCTAAAAGGGGGTGTATGTAAATTCAAACGCACTGATACAGTTCTAAGCCTATTGAATTTCACTGGTGCAATCCTGCAGATTATTCAAGAAGAGTTCTTTCTGCATTCACATAATAGGGATTGCCAAATGCAGGGAGAAAAAAAAGCATCCACATTCTCAAACCTCCATGAATTGATGAGTTCTTTTCTTCTTTTTAATAACCCAAAACAACTTCAAATAGATTAATCTGTCAATGTTTCTTTTCTTTTTTTCCCTTTAGCCTTTTCCCCCCCACCAGTTAACAGATCTTACAAAAGGTATTTGCTAAGCTTGGGCTGGCAAGGTTTTCATTATCTGTCAAGGTAAGCCAAAGTTTAGATTGTGATCTTGATTGGACCAGCAGTGTAGGAGGAGATAGTGTGTATTTCAAAGCACTTTCACCGCAACCAATATCAAGGGAGGTTGGATTGATAGAAGTAAAGTTTTGATTTAGACTTGTCTGCAACTGGGCAAAGGCATCAACGCATACCTGCAAAGGTGTTGATAGGTAAACATAGTTTGCAAATGTTTGCAGAGACCGAAGCACACAACTCTCAAATCTGAACCACATTATGCAGCGATATGCATCCTGCATGCTGATTGGTTGATCTGACTTCCTGTTGGTGCTTTCTTGTTTGAGTGCCCCTATCCACAATGTTAACATTTGCAGAAATATAAATGCAACAATTATGCAACCATCTCCAGGCGACAGACGCATATGATCCATGAGATGCAATGATGCAGAAGTCTACTCCAAGTTTAACTTCCATACCCTGTAGCATGGGTGTCAAACTCAAGGCCTGCGGGCCGCATCGGCCCACGGAGTGCTTAGATCTGGCCCTCAGGGCCACCCTGGAAACAGTGAAGGACCGGCCCACAGTGCCTCTGCCAGTGAAAATGGAGCTCGGGAAGGCCATGGGCTAAGGCCTAGCAAAAGAAAAGGAGAAACGTTTCCCGTTTTGCATTTGAGCATCCAAGAAGATGAAAGAAAGAAAGGGAAAGAAAGGGAAAGATGAAGAAAAAGAAGGGAAGGGGGGAAGAGAGCAAGAAAGGAAAAAGGAAAGAGGGGAAAGAAGAAGGAAGGAGAAGGAAGAAGGAAAAAGAAAAGGGAGGGAGGGAGGGAGGGAGAAAAGGAAGGAAGGAAGGAAGGAAGGAAGGAAGGAAGGAAGGAAGGAAGGAAGGAAGGAAGGAAGGAAGGAAGGAAAGTCCTGCCCGAGCAGACGGCAAGTGTCCTCTGGAAGATGCGCTCTTTCTGGTCCACTGGAGAGAATGTATTCTCCCCCCCACCAGCCCCACCTGGGCCACCATAGGTGCCCCCAACGTGAGTGATGTCGAGCTGGCCGCGCTCACCAAGCCACGCCCACCCAGCCTCCCTGAGGTCAAACACAACCCCGGCGGCCCTCAAGGAAACCGAGTTTGACACCCTTGCCCTATAGCATCAAGACTGTTCTGTGATTTATGGCGTGCCAGCCCCTAGGTTTTCCCACTGCAGTCCAGCATTTTCATCAGTATACCGCCCTAGTTTTTAATCTGCAAACTTACAATGTTATGCGTCTTGGCTGAGATCGTCTTGACGCTGTCAGGATCCCAGATCACCAGATCAGCATCAGATCCCACTGCAATGCGCCCCTTCCGTGGGTACAGGTTGAAGATCTTGGCTGCTGTGGTGCTGGTGACAGCAACAAATTGGTTCTCGTCCATTTTGCCAGTAACCTAAATCAGAGGAAAGAACGGTCAGAGTGGAAAAACGACGACAGTACTACGGGAAAATCAAATGGGGTCATTAAAGAAACAGTTGTGGTCATCCACGCCCGACTGTTCTGAGAGAGGGGGGAGATTTCAAGTCGCCTACAGAAAGGAATTCATTTTGTTGAGCTACGCCTGATTCTTTGGCTCTATTTGCATTTGAGCTCTATTGCCCAGCTACAAATTTGCTCTAAGCAAACAGAGTCTATTCTGCAGGGAAAGACTGGACTTAATTCTGCTTTCCAGAAATCTAGGAAGAATCTCTTCTGAAACGCTTCCCTTTTCTTTCAATGGGCTGAGTTTCCGTATGCATGATCAGGGCTCTCCAACCTTGGCAACTTTAAGACTTGTGGACTTCAACTCCCAGAGTTCCTCAGCCAGGCGTAGCTCAACAAAATGAATTCCTTTCTGCAGGCGACTTGAAATCTCCCCCCTCTCTCAGAACAGTCGGGCGTGGATGACCACAAGTCTTAAAGTTGCCAAGGTTGGAGACCCCTGTGCATGATGACTATCTAGGCTGCGGCTCTTCCCACATAACACTACAGCTACAGAGGTAAATGAATGCTAATCATAATATGATCTCAAATGACACTGTCCTATCGAAGCAAGGGAGAATCCCTAAATGTTTGGATCCTGATCTGAATGTCCAAGTTTACTCCCTTGATGCCAATGGATGCACGTCATCTGTATCAATGTTCATCAACTAAACTGGCATTGGAAAGTTTCTGCCAAGCTGTGACTGCAAGGGACTTGGTTACAGATGGTTGATTTGTTTAGCACTGGTAGACTTAATCCCAACCCAAGCCAAAACAACCCACCACGGCTTTATCCCAGATGATGGACATCCGTTCCTCAGTTCCATTTGTTCCTTGCGGGATCAAAGTGAAATTGTCCTTCCCAACAGCTTTCTGGGCAGTATTGAAAGTACAGTGGCCACTGCCAGTAACCTGGAGATCTCCACTGGAAACAGAAGACAAGAGTTGCTCTATTCATCAACGACAGAATGACAGCAAAAGCAAACAAACTGCATTTAATCAAGGCTCACTGCATGAAACGAAACTTTGCGGACAGGACGATGAATTATTCATCTCTATTAATCAACTCTTTATTACCAGCTTTAATTTAAATCTGGTAATAAAGATTTAAAGCCTGGTTTTAAATCTAAGCTTGGGAGGAAGGACTGGAATTCTGAGCCTCTACAGTTTGAAAAGCTTCCCGGGTTTAATCACAGTGGTGCCAAGAGGATGAATCTGCATAGTAAGACTTTCCTTGCTAGAAAGTGAGGCACATTCTCAGCCTACAGTCTTAAACATCCCAAACAAATGCAGAGGGGATGAATAAATCGAAGAGGAAGGGAAGGCGTGAAGGCAGGCTTTTAACACAACAGCCATAGTCAACTTGGGGCCAAACCCAAGCCAATCTGCACAGAACACAGGATTCCTTTCTCTTGCTGTGGCACACCTTTTCTGTCTTTTGAGATCAGAGTCAACTCATATAAAGAGCGTCACCCCCTCCAACTCAACTCACCAGGAGAGCAGAGAATTGAGGAAGTCCGGAGTAGTTGGGTCAGGACTCAGTGGTGGAGCAGTGACAAAAGCAGCTGCTTTGGCCCAGTTTTTACTCCAGTAATGAGATCCGTCGGTGCCCAAGCTTGCTGCAATGGGCTCACCGTACACCACAGTGCCTGTTAATCAAGACAGGATGAACAGGACAATTATTGCCAGGGTCCTAAGCACCTTCACTCTTGGCCTACTATGAAAGAAGAACCAGAGAGCAGAGCAGAGCCTGGTTATAGGGTGGGGCCATTATCTAAATGGATGTGAGATTTGCTATCCACCAGGAATCGGTATGAAGGAAGTGATGCATAAATAATACAGGCAAACAACTAAGTATTGGAAGGTGCCTTATTACAGATACAAAAACAGATTCAAAAACAGTATTGTCTCTTGTAGCCCTTGGTGGGACTCTGGTTAAGAACACTAAGAAAAAGAAAGGGAAAGGGAAAAAAATGGAAGCTTTTGGCATTGTTCTAGTGTCGGTGAAGACATGAACAAAAGATCTGTGGGAAAATGCGTAATTCATTCACAGTAGGAAGGCTACCAGTCTTCTATTTAAAAAAAAAAGGGGGGGGGTAGTGAAGCCACTAAGTCAGGGGTGTCAAACTCAAGGCCTGGGGGCTGGATCTGGTCCATGGGGTGCTTAGAACTGGCCCATGGGGCTGCCCTGGAAATCACAAAAAAACGACTTGCGGTGCTTCTACCAGTGAAAATGGGCTCCAGAGCTCCATTGCCTCCTGCAACCCTCTGCCAGTGAAAACGGAGCTCGGGAGGGCCGCACACTGGCAGAAGGCTGCAGGAGGCCCTCGTGGCCGAAAACGGAGCTCGGGAGCCTGTTTTCTCTGGCAGAGCGCTCAGCCTCCCAACAGGAGTGACGTTGAGGTGGCCACGCCCACCCCAGCCTCCCTCCTCCCCCCCACAAGATCAAACACAACCCTGATACAGCCCTCAGTGAAATTGAGTTCAACACTGTCAATGTATAAGAATTCATGAATTGGAACAGACATGGTAACGGATCAGTCAAGGGGGACTGTTTGGTGACCCAGACAGGTCAGAGCCTGGGCATGGCTTACATGTAGTAAATCTGCAGAATTTAGTTATCATGAAACTCCGGATTTATCACTGGCTAAGTAATCTTGACTGTGACCACTGTTTTCATATTGCAAAGCTCAGTGAAAATAAATGGCAGATGCTTTTGAGGGCAAGAGTCATTGAAGGCTACTTTTCCCCAAAGATAGTAGTATTATGGTTGGTCACAAAAGTCAGCCAGGTGTTTAGACTGGATTTTTATCTATCTCTCAAGTCGTCCCCAAAGACCTGGGATAGGCAGATGTGGATGTTTGAAGGTGTTAAGAGGCATCATCTCAGGATGTAAACTGTTCCGAGTAAAGCTGCCTTTTCCAATTGACCGATGGTGAATTTGTCAATGCCAATAGTGTTCAAACGATGCTCCATTGTTCTGGGATTGCACCCAAGGCTCCTGTTACTATTGGTTTTATTCTTATTTAATCTTGTATGCCGCCCAACTCTGAACCATTTCAGGCAGGTATTCCCAACACAATTTGAGTATCAACTGTGGCCCAGTTTGGATTCAATGGGAAATCTTTTTTGCAAGGAATCACAGATAACTCTCATTGTTATCATTTGATTCTTAACCCTCTTCCCTTCATTTAATTTAACTCACTTGCCAGCTTCTTTAATTCATGCAACAGAATAACCAAGGATAAATAAAAGAAAGGAAGGCCACAGCGTGCCATAATTCAGTGACTGCATCCCGCAGAAAGACACATTAAGCTGACAGATAAGTGTTTATAAGCGCTGTAAAACCTCCAGGGACAAACTGCTTATCTGGCTTTATTTAAACTGCATCATGTCTTCTTCAAATACTTTCTTGCATAAAGGGAGGGAAGGAAGGGGGCGGGGGAGAAGAAGAAAAATTTTTCATTTTAAGACAACTACATCTATCAAAGCTTTATTATAAAAATAATAAAGCTTAAACAAGACAAGACAAAGAGGGCACAAGTGTTCTTCAATGCCATTTAACTGAAAATTCCAAGAAGGGTAGAATATGTTCTGAGACTGTTTCGCACCTTGGGCTTATTTTTAAACTCTTATTTTCAAAGCGTGAAGCACAAACATGACGAAGACTGTATTACCAATAGTTTTGAAGGGATGAGAAAACCCAGCTCCTAGGCCACCATACATTGGAGACAATAAGGTTTGTTTGTTTGCTACCATATCAAGCCACAATTCCAATACGGTAACACTGTGAAATGCTGCTATATTCTTTTGATGGGGGAAGGAGGGAGGGAGGTTAGGGACAGTAATGGGACCCCCCCCCCCGGGGCACTCCTGCTCTGGTTGACGCCTGTATTAGGAGTAACAAACAGGCAACAATCAAACCTGCAATACTACAAGTGGGCACTTGATTGTCCTAATTCAGAAGCTCTATCTCAAAGTGCTGAAGACGGTCTTCATAAGAAAAAGGGGGTTGCTTGTATCACAATGAGGAATGCCACAGGAGTTACGACACCCACAAGGGGTATATTCCCAACTGCCAGGAATACAGGTCATTTTTCAGCATTCGAAAAGCAGATTTGAGAAGAGCAAAGAACCACCACCAGACTTTAAACTTTAAGACTTGTGGACTTCAACTCCCAGAATTCCCTAGCCAGAATTCTGGGAGTTGACCACGAATCTTAAAAATTGACAAATTTGGCAACCTCTGATCTAGTGCCTTTGCTCAGATTATGAAGCTCTGTCCAGTTCAGTTGTCCAGCTGAAGATATAAATAGAGCACCTTAACTAGTCACTCAAAATGTTTGGGACTCCCAAACAGCCCCAATATGGGTTCCAAACATCTGGAAGTACCCTCTTTAATCCAGTTCCGGATTTGCAGGGAGGAGTTGGTACACAGCAATCGAAATCCTGTTTGTCTGGCTAGCTGCACGGACATATGGAAAAGCAAGTTTATGCTTTGTGTAAATAAAAGACGGAAGAAGCCAATGGAGGGAATCCTGCTTAGCAGGGCGGGGTGGAGACCGTGAAAGGAATATAACAGAATGGCAGTGTTAGCAAGCGGGGGACTAAAAAGATGAGGTCACTTTCCTATTTGCAAACTAGCCTTAGCAAAGCTACTGAGCCAGCTGGTGGAGTTACAGAGAGGAAACGGATTTTAAACAGCCAACAACCTAACAAGCTACTTGGAATGTATAACCAGGTCCTTGCACAAAATTCAACCGCTCTGGAAGTTTTAAAAAAATCCAGCTAAGCATCCCATCACCTGGGAGATTTATGACGCTTGCAATGAAACAAAGAGTGGAAAAATTAGTTGTTGTTTTTTCCTCATCAGGCTTAACAGACTAACAAAACAGATCAACAGAGTTGGAAAGGACCTTGGAGGTCCTAATTCAACCCCCTGCACCATTCCAGACAAAGGGATGTCCAGTCTCTTCTTCTAGTGGGAAGAAGCCCACAACTTCCAGTGTTGGAGCATTCACAACTTCTGGAAGCAAATTGTTCCATTTATTAATTGTTCTGTCAGGAAATTTCTCCTTCGTTCTAAATTGCTTCTCTAGATTGATTAGTTTCCACCCATGGCTTCTTGTCCTGCCTTCTGGTGCTTTGGAGGACAGCTTGACTCCTTCTTCTTTGAGGCAGCCCCTCAGATACTGGAATGCTGTTATCATGCAACTCCTAGTCCTTCTTTTCATCAAACTAGACAGACCCAATTCCAGCAGCCGTTCCTTTATATGTTTTATCCTCCAGTCCCCTAATCCTCTTGGTTGCTCTTCTCTACACTCTTTCTAAGAGTCTCAACATCGTTTTTTTATACTGTGGCGACCAAAACTGCATGCAGTATTTCGAGTGTGGCCTTATCAAGGCATTACAAAGTGGTAGAAGTAGTCCTTGACTTACAACGGTTCATTTAGTGACTGTTCAAAGTTACAACGGCCCTGAAGAAAGTGACTTATGACCAGTTTTCAGACTTACAACTGCTGTGGCATCCTCACGGTCATGTGGTCAAAATTCAGATGCCTGGCAATTGACTCATATTGACAATGGTTGAAGGACTACAGGATCCCCTTTTTGCAGCCTTCTGACAAACGAAGTCGATCAGGAAGTCAGAGTCCCATAACAACAGTTTGACTAATTAAAGAACTGCAGTGATTCACTTAGAATCTGTGAAATATGCAAGAAAGGCGGTAAAATGGGGGCAAACTCACTCAACGAAAGTTTCACTCAGCAACGGAAATTTTGGACTCGGTCATGGTCATAAGTCGAGGACTACCCGTACTAACGCTTCCCATTATCAGGATTCAATATTCTATTAAGAGAGCTCACCCTTCTTCCTGGCCAAGGCAATCACTTCGGCGGCACTTTTACTCATCACTTTGGTGATGTATAAGGGGCAGTTGGTTTGGTTGGCGATGGTTATAGCCCTGTTCACAGCTTCAGCCTCCACCTATTAGGCAGGAAGAGAGAAGGACAAAGAAGCAGAGGTCGATCCATCATTATGACGATCACAAGACTTGCAAACAAAAGCATTAAAATAAATAGTAGTTAAAAACAAAATAAAAATAAAAGGTCAGATAGGACTGCGATTGGTGGTGGATTATGTTCAGAGTTTTGCAGTGTTAATTCAGCGCCAGAAAAATAAACACAGATGGCTGGTGCTACATTTAGCATCTTTATAAACATCATAAGTAGATTTTACAAACCAGTTGTAGATTTCTCCAACATGGAGCAAACTCAGACAGAAATATATTTCAGCAGCACAGAAACAGACATCAGTTTCACTTCAGTTCAGCAAGCAAGCAGAAGAGAGAAAGGGCGTTGGTACCTAATACGCCCGTTCACTTTCATTTTCAACAGACAGACTCAGAGCGCAACATAGCTGCAGAGTTGCAGAGATTAATATGGAGCCATGCCTAGGCTACTTCTAGTTTCAGTTTCCAGCCTAGGCTATATCTAGTTTCAGTTTCCAAACTGTCCTCATTGGCTGACTTAGTTGCTATGCCTATTCATTGGCTGACCTTGTTACCAAACTCTATTCCGGTTCGTGCATATACTCTGACAGATTAACAATGGTCCGTTAAAGCAGAGATCCCTCTCAGTAACATCTCTGAGTGTTCCCCAACTTTCACAGCCTTTGTTTGCAAAACTGGAATTAAATGAATGGACAGAGAGTGCAGTCATGCCAATTCTCAGTCAGTGGTGGGATTGAACAAGATATTGCATATTGAACTGGTAAGAACGGATGCTGTGTTTGATCTTGGCCAAAGGGTTGAGGCCCGTTTGCTGGAATGAATCTTGTCTCAGTGCTACAACTCCATACAAATTCTACACTGTAGAACCGAGCAGCCTTCTGCATTTCTAAAATAAATACAGTCTAAAACCGGCACAATTGAGCCATTCTTTTTAGCCAGCCAAACTTCCACAAAAGGTTCCAGGTCACCACCCTAATTTTTGCTGCTAAGCAAAGTAGGATGGGATTAGTCCTTGGATGAGAGGCTACCAGAAAATCATAAAGATAATGGCATTCAAAAACTAGCAGGTCTGGCAACCTCATGCACATGGCTACTAATTTGGACTTCCTCCTCCTCCTTCTTCCTCTTCCTCCTTCTGCCATATCCATCATCGGACGTTGGCAATCATGTGAACAGCCGCATGAAAAAGGACTGCTGAGTTTTGTCTAAACCAGACCCTTGTCAACTCAAAATATTTCTATGGTCTTTTTAGAGTTGCCAACAGAAAGGGAGGGGGGAGCAGTGCGGTAGCTTGCAAAACCGAAACTGCATTCCATAAATGTTTTCAAAGATAGTAGCTAGGTGACTGAAGTTTCTGCTGTGCAAAATTCTACCTGGAGAGTATGATTGATGACTCTTGGCGATGGATGTGTCCCATTGGAGAATATGAGTTATGATAGAGCCAAGGGGTAGGTGAAAACCAGGGTCAAGGGTGACAATGAATTATGTGCCTCAGAGTTGGCTACGCCCAGGTAGTGCCAACATGTTTTGGAAGTTTGGCTTGAGACTCATGATTTAGATGAGGGTAATTGCTGAACCCTGACATCCCTTAGATTTTGAGTTACACGTAGTCCTTGACTTACAGTAGTTCCTAGTGACTGTTTGAAGTTAAAACGGCACTGGAAAAGGTAACTTATTTTTCATTTTTCACACTTATGACCATTGCAGTTTCCCTATGGTCATGTGACCGAAATTCAGGTGCTATTTGTGAAGGTTGCCATGTCCCGAGGTCATTATTTTTTGAGTCCTTCTGTCAAGCAAAGTCAATGGGGAAGCCAGATTCACTTAACAACCATGTTACTAACTTAACAATTGCAGTGATTCATATAATGCCCGAGGCGACTAAGGTGTAAAATGGGGAAAAATTTGCTTAAGTAAAGTCTCACTTAGCAGCAGAAATTTTGGGCTCAATTGTAGTCGTTAAGTTGAGGACTACATATATTTGTGCATTTCTCTAAATCCTTTTCCAAATCATTTTCTGGCCCATCCAATGGCAGGATGTTCCAAAGCCAGCTATTATTATTATTATTGTTGTTGTTATTGTTGTTGTTTACTATTATTAAATTCCTCTGTTCTGAATTTTCCACTCTTAAATTTTTCTTCTGGTCTGCTTGTCCACCTCACTGGGGCATAACTTTGGGATCTTCTTCTTGACTTTCGCTTCATTATTTTTAAATCATAAACCTTCTGCGGCCTGGTGGCTAATTGCCACTTGCGGAAAGAACCCAAGTCCCACGGGGTAAAGGGCACATTAAATGCTGCTTGCTGTCTTTTCCATGGGAGTGGGAAAACCTGGCTATAAAATGTTTTTGTGGCAGTCCCAGCCCGGGTGAACTTAGTCACAATTCTAGTATTGCCAAAAAGAAAAAGAAAAGAATTTAACTCCCTGGTACCAAGACATTTGTTCTCCCAAATCTTGGAATTTAAAGAGGTTGCTACAGGATTCCCTCTTCCAATTTTATGCTCTACACAACCTGATGATATTGCTTGGAATGAAGAGATGAAATGGGCTCAGAATCAATCATCCAGGGAGTCCTAATCCACTGGTTAACTGTTGTCACAGTTATGAAGTTTCACCTTCGTTCCGGGAGCGGGTGGGTTAGACTAAAGTCCCTTCCTGGTCCCTTTCAATTCTATTCTGAATTGAACTGAATTCATCTGAGAACCTGTTCACCACAGCCTTAATTTCAGCGATGCATAGTTAAGATGCATAGTCGATTTAGGAGCAATGCAAAAAAACAAAAACCCCTATGAAGTCTGCAATGATTTTTTTTGTTTTAAATTCAGCCCTTCCCAACTCACTCCCCCAAAACTGACAAGGTAAATAAGAAGCTTGTTAAAGAGAGATCCAACCTAAGGAAGGAAAAAAATCCTGACAGTTAGATCACTCACTCAGCAGAACAACTTGCCTTCAGAAGTTGTGCTTGCTCCATCACTGAAGGTTTTTAAGAAGAAACTAGACAGCCATTTTGTGTGGACTGGACAGGGGATTGGACTAGAAGACCTCCAAAGGTCCCTTCCAACTCTGCTGTTCTATAATTCTTAACTTCTGGGGGAAATAAGGAAGATGAGGAGTCCTATTTTCCTCCATCTCAGCAAAGCTATCTGCTCTCCTTCCCTGGCCTCCAACTCAAATTTTTGATCTGCTTTTTCCAGTACAGGTAGTCTTTGACTTACGACAATTGAGCCCTAGATTTGCGTTGCGAAGCAAGACAGTTGTTCGGTCAGTTTTGCCCCATTCTATGACCACAAATTGAGTCAGTTGCCAAGCATCTGAATTTTGATCATGTGACCCTGGGGATGCTGCAATAGTCATGTGAAAAACGATCCCACGCTACTTTTTTCAGTGCCGTTGTAACTTTTGAATGGTCACTAAAAGCAAAAAGGCTGCTTATATGGCTTTTCTCCCACTCAGATTCAACCTTCTGGGGTGCTTCCATCTCCTGGCAGAAGAATCTGGGTTTGTCAATCTGGGTTTGTCACTGGACACTTTAGGAGCTCTTTCAAAACAACACCCACATGGAGCTTACCAGGTCAACGGCTTCTTAGCCTATCTAGGTCGGTACTCAATAGGGACAAGACATTCTGTTCAGATGTGGAATGTTCTTCCTCTGGAACACAAGTTTATATGTCCTTAGTTGGGTTTATATGTCCTTAGTTGCTACTATTGACAAGGCCCAGCAGCAGCAACTTTTCCAGATTTCACACTAAATTCTTTTCCAACCTTTTTTGGAGATACAGAGAATCAAAACTAGAAACATCTACACTTAGAAGGAGGTATTCAACAATCTGTCAGAGCCTTTCTTCTCCTCCTCCTTTTCTTGGACCTAAAACAACCTTCTGAAATTCTCCATCTGTCACCAGAGAAACTGGGTGGATTACTTTTATGCATTTTTCCAAGGGAAGGAAACCCGTCCAAGAACTTCTTGAGGGCCAGAAGAACCACATTTCCTTGGAGTTTAATGAGAAAATATGGATGGTGGAAGTGCCTAGAGGGCAAGGCTTATACAGTGAAAAAGTGTACCTAGCATTAAATAAGTGAAAGAATACTTTATTCATTTATTTTTGAAAGAGTTCTATTGTGAAAGGTTTCTAATGTTCATTTTCTTTTAACACATTCAGTGATAACTTGTAGGAAAAAATTTACTTGCTCAGCACTATTAAAAACCTCAAAGATGCAAGAGTTTTACCCACAAACATTGTGCAGATAAAAGTGAGTTTTCTATCTAGAGACCACTAAATCATCTCCTTTTAAGGACCCCATAATCCCTTGCAGGGTGGAGTCTGGGCAACTGAATGGAGCTCAGTGTTTACTGGCCGGATGCCCTTCCTCTCACCAATGCAGAGTTGTATTCAGCAGAGAGAGAAATATCTGCCTGTACCTCGGATCGAACTCTGCCTCTGGATTGTGAGGTGAGAGCTCCACCTGTAGGCCACTGCACCACTGATCCAAAGACCACTAAATACAGAATACAAATACTTGAATTTAGGATGCAGTGCTTCATCACTGTTGCTGGCTCTCCAAAATGCAATCAAAACCAAGGAACAAGCTAAACATTTTATGATGCACTCACTTCTTCAGGCCTGCTCAAAACGTGCCCTTCAGGGCCAGTGATCCCCAGTTCCAAGATCCTTTGCTGCTCCTAAGGGATAGGAAAAAGGGCACAGATCAAACTTACTTTACTAGCAGAAGTCAGATTTTCCAAGAATTCTAAATTAAGTGCTCTAGCTCCGCTCTAGCAGAAGGTCTTCTATCAACCTGGCCAATTTCCAGGCAGGGTTCATATACAACATGCTCAACCCTAGATGACAGACTACAATTGCTGTATTAAGAAACCAACCCTCTTTTAACCTAACCAAGATGTTCTCCAGTTGGGATCTCCTTACTGGGATTAAAAACTGCAAGCATCCTATGTTTGCATTCTTGCATTAGCCCCATGTGCTCTCTCATGTTCGATATTACTTATTTCTCGTTCGTCTAGCTGTGTTCTCTGCCATTTCTCACTAAGTTTACAATTCACTGTAATATTCGTTGAAAGTCAGTTTACTTTTAACTGCACACGAGACAACCGGCAACCGCTGGGTCATTGTTTCAGAGAGATTTCCTTACCTAAAGACAGAACCAGAATGACCACAGACAGGCAGGAGGGGAGGGGCTTCTGGCTTCCTGCCGGCTTTCCCACTGACTTTCCTTGTAGGAAGCTGGCAGGGAGCTCTGGAAATGACAGTCACGTGACTGCCGCTGACCACGGCAACGTGGCAGTGTGGCAGCACTGAAGCAGCCATAGATCTTTGCCAGATTTCAGTTGCACGTGAGTCATAGATCTTGGATTTCAAGAAGCATTTTGTAACTTAGCTCATTTGAGGCACGCTGATTCAAAAGTTGTTTCCCTACAATTTCCTGTTTTGCCCATTTGAAGGTTACAAACAATCAAGCAGGCACGCGAATATTAATAGCGTAGACATTTCTCCTACTATTTGGGTTTTTTAGTGTAATTCTCACAACAGATCCATTTCTGCAAGCAGTTTTCTCTGATGAAATACATTTGGGGTAATTTTCTCCTTCTAATGCACCTTTTTTATTTAAACATCCTTCGCGAACTGTATGGCCAAATTTTGAATCCCATGTGCTTCTGGGAACGCTACCAACAGGACTGCAAAGAAGAATTACCTCTGCTATGATGTCACCATTCTCAGCATGGACTTGAGCTATTGCACCAATGTCACGGATTACACTCAGGACCTCATAAATCTGTTGAAAAAAGGGAAAACATGCATTTTCCTGAGCTACTTTCCCAATCTATTCCATGTTACTTTAAGAGCTCAGATTCCTACTCTCAAAGTTCAAAGTCTTTTTAAAGGTCACTGAAATTCTATGTTTATATGGACAATGTCCAGGGATTTTCAGACTTTGGGCAAAAATTCCTTATGACTAAAATAAACGAGATGCTGTCTAGTTCTACATTATTTGTTTTCCCAATTTTATCAACCACAAAATGCTACTTAAATTTGTTGTTGTCTGCATAAATCACTTTCCTCGTGATTTATATTTTGGCAATCTTCTTCAGCACCAACATTGAAGACTCTATACCGGATCTTTACAAGCCCATTCAACAATCTTATCCTGGCTAAATCAGTTTTGAGCAATATCAAAACTCTAAAAGGGCAGGGCACAGTATGGATATTTTTAATTATACTACTGTTCTTCCGCAGACTGGCAAGATATTATTCCACTTTAAAATATTGTTATATAAGAATGTAGTAGGTTACACTGGAAGGAAAATGTTCTCCCAAGGTTGGACATCAAGTACCAAAGGCAAGGGAGGATCTGAACCTATAGTCCTGATACAATCAGCTCTGCAATAAAGGCTCTAAGCTAATAACTAATTAAATTAAAAGCATAAATCAACCTTGCTAAAATGATTTGAAGGTCATCTTGTTTCATACGCATGCCTACAAGCAAAAGAATCTGGAAAACTCTGGTTAATGAAGAGTCAAAAATTTAATACATAAGCAATGTTGTTCTTTTGCTGCCCTCCAGCAGTTCAAGTCCATCTGCATGGAAATTTAGATCCACTCAAACAATAGACCGCAATTCCTACAATTCCAACACAACTTGGGGAGATACATTTCCATCCATAACTGGAAGAGGCTGGGTTGAGAAGGCTGATCTAGAATAAAAGAGTGAGCCAGTGAGCCTAAAGAGAAAATATTTAGAAGACCGTTTGTCTAAATATTTATTATTAAATTTCCGCTTGATTCCCAATGACTCTAGGAGGAGAGGAAAAGAGAAAAAAAGAGAAATTGAAGTTGTCTTCATAAAGAGAGAAACAGGAAAAAAAGAAGAAAAAAAGAAAGAAATTCAGTCATTTTTGAACCTTAATGGAGAAATCACTTCCAGAACTTTGTCCAAATGTGTTTGCATGCATTAAATTCTGACTGATAGGAACAAGGACAGGTGTGTTTTGTTTTCCCTGCCAGAGTTCAACTTATCCTCCCACTGAAAACACACCCATTGAAAAAGAAAAGGAATGTGGTTGAGGTTTCCTTTAAAAAAAAAAAAAAAAGCTCCACCTACTAGCACAAATCACAAACGTTGTACTTGCTCCTCAAGAAGCATTTGCTTCCAACCCAGCTGCAGGGAGCTGCCAAATTCCTTGACACAAGTTTGTTCAAGAAGCAGCCAACCCATTTTGCCTACTTTTTAATTTGGCAATAGGATTTTCTTGTTTGTCCAGCTCTCCCAGAGCTAGTTATACTGTGGAATACGAACAGGACCAGCCTAGGATTAAGGTGGAAGTGCAGTCAGTGTTCAGAACCTGCTCAGCAGTCTTACCTGAGAATCTGTTAGCTGAAAATGGTCCTTGAAAGCCATATACACCAAGAAGGAATTGACTCCTGTTAAAAAGAGAGAGTGAAAGTGAATCACCAGTCCATTTACAGAGAAATCTACACATAAGAAGAACGATGATGGGACTGTATCGCTAGCCTAGACCTGGTATCCAACAGTCATTTTCAAATGCAACTTCCACTGGATATAGAATTGTACAAACTGACCTCCAACAAGTGTGGAGAACACCAGTCAGTTGCTATGGCCTGGGCAGATCCCATCCCATAATATCTCTAATATGCACCAGTGCAGAACACTAGAGAGGTGGAAAGGAAACAACCATTGTATTATTTTTCACAGGTAGACATCACCTCACAAACCTGTTATCAACTGAGGGAGCTGATATGTTCTCTGCCTATGTTTCCTAACCAAAGCACATCAAAATCTCCTGGAATCACCCCAACCAGTGCGAATCATGAAGCAAGACTTCGTCTGCAGAAAGTGCAAAGCCATTCTTTTTGGATGACACTCAACTGCCGCAGCTACATTCTACGGTGTCCAACGGTTGCTGCCACATCAAACTCCTGACCGCAGGATAAATTAGCCACGTGTCCGCATGCAACCAAAACCTTAATCCATGTTCAAAAGGAAGAGATCAACAGTTTTAAGAGGACCTCAAGCTTAAATGCAAGAGGAAGATAACACACATGCTTGAACAAAACTCAAGGTTTACCTTCTCAACTGGAAAACTAATGTTTTCAGAAGGCATAGAATGGGTCAGGAGGATATGTGGGGAAAAAAGAAGGGGAGAGTGAAACAAATTATTTGGAGTTTTTATAAATTCCATCCTGTAATGGTTTGTTGCAAGTAAGCAATAGCACTTAGACTTATATTCTGCTTCATATGCTTTACAGCCCTCTCTAAGTGGTTTACATATTGCCCCCAACAATCCAGGTCCTCATTTTACCAACCTCAGAAGGATGGAAGGCTCAGCCAACCTTGAGCTGGTCAGAATTGAACTCCTGGCAGTGAGCAGTGAATTAGCCTGCAATACTGCATTCTAACCACTGAGCCACCACAGCTTTGTATAGCATTAACTATTATCATTAACTCTAAGCCGGTATAATTTCACTTATTGCTTTGTTTTGTAGGCTTTCAAAGCTGGCATCAGTGAGGCAATGATGAATTTTGGGGTTCAATGGCTGTGGTCTAGTTTTCTTTTGTTCTGACATTTCACCAGCAGTTGTGATTGGCATCTTCAGACGCCAAGCAAGCCACTTTGTGGTATACCAGTCAATAACACAAACTCTCAGCCTGTGAGCTGCCGAGAGGCAGCCCCACAAAGCAACCGACTCCGCCCTCTGAAGATGCCAGTCACAGCTGCTGGCTAAACATTGGAACAAAAATAAACTAGATCAGGGCCATTCTGTTCAAAAGATTCTCCCGACTTTATAATCTCTCTATGTTGATTCATCCCAATTTGAGCAAGGGGAAATTCTCCTATCAAGAGAAACTGGAAAAGTACATTGTTGCCTAACAACTAGGACAGAGTTCACTTGGCACTAGCCTAGAGTATGACTTTTGTGCAGGTACTCAAACATTTTCGAGACTTACCGTGGTCCTTAACCAGGGCTTCCATCTCCTCTTGAACTCCTTTGTGCCACTCTATGATGTCCACATGCAAAGAATAATCACAGCAGGACTTGCTGTCAGCCCATTCTCGCCACTGATCAAATGCAGAAATCAAACTGGTGCCAGGCTCGGGAACAACGTGATCAACTAAAGAAAGAAAAGTGGCATGTGCCCCAATGGGTTAACACACTTTCAAGGTTTCGAGCTTCAGGATTCTAAACGGAGAAGGGTTAAATGAAGCACTTCTAATCCTGTTGCCAGATGCATTGGAAAAAATCTCTAAAAATTCTGTACACAACAGACAATAGGTATCATGACTCAAGGATTGCGGAGACTGAAGATGAACATATTCAGAGGACAGGGCACCATAGTGCCAACAAAGAAGCCAACATCCTGCTTCATGTACGGGTACTCCTCAGGTTACAACCATTTCTTCACCAACAGTCCAAAGTTACAATGGCACTGAATAAGTGGTACTTATGATGGACCTATTGCACCATTTATGCAACCTGTTGGTGATTTCCTATATTCTTTGCTGGCTGCCCATAAACGAAGTCAATGTGGAAGCAGACAGTAAGCCAAAAGTCAAATGAGGTCCTCTTTTATCAACATACGCAATCCTTGTTTAATGACTACAACCAGCAATGCCAGAATTACTATCACTAAGCAATGTGAAAATTGTCCTGCTTACCAAACAAAAGTATTAAAATTGTCCTGCTTAACCAAAACCTAGACCGTGTAAAGTCCACATTTTTGTAACATACTGTCAAAGCTGGTCATATGGCTTTTAATTTTTAAAAATCCAGCCTCAATCTTATTAATAATGTTCAAAGCAGCTGTAACTTCAAAAAAAATCATAAAAATAGACAAAACAACAAAAGTATTAAAAAGAGCAAGACGTTCTTGAAGAAGAGCGGGTCTTCTTAGACACAATACTGGGCTCCTGTGACACTTCAAGGCTGCATTAAGCCAAGAGAAGCATTATGTATTCAATCTGATCAATCAGATGCCAGCTGTTCATGAAAAATAACAGACTATTTGCAAAACAGGTTTAGGTATTACACAAATCGAATTTCATGAGAAAAGCAGAAATTGAAGTCTTTTGTGACTTGGAGCAAACTGACATATTTAAAATCAGGATTAGAGATGGGAAATCAATTCAGTCAATTTAACCGCAAGGGTATCTATCGAGATTCTCAGTCACCCAAAGGTGCTTTTCTAAGAGACGACTGGACATTCTTTGGTTTTCCTTGAAGACGTTTCCTTCTCATCCAAAAACTTCTTCAGTTCCTCAATTCCGATTGTATAAAAAATGAAGTCCAGTTGCCTCTTGCCACCTTTGGGTCAACTCCAAGGATGGACTCATCTGTCTACAGTGCTTCAGTCTGAAAGTCAGAAATTCTTCTCTCCTTAAATCTCAATTCCCTAATTACTATTGCAGGCACTGCAAGTCAGGAGCTGATTCTCACCATCAGTGGTGGGAGATGGCCCTTGGAAACAGGGAGAGATCTCACCTCAAGGATGAACTTGTTTTTACGTTATGCAATACGTTATGGAATTTATTTCCAAAATGATTGTGAATGTATCATTCTCTTGGTCTTGAAAGAAGAATGGGCAAGTTCATGGATGCTTGGGTGACCCATTGCTACCAACCTCAATGGCTATTTACTAATTCTAGAGTCACAAGGAACATGCTTTGAATGTCAACTTCTAGGAAGCAGTGAGGAAGATGACTATTAACCTGTTGAGCATATTGCTGCGTTTTCAGAATGCACTGGAATGGACGCTGTACATCACAGAATCCTTGGGAAGATGGCCTAATCCAGAAGAGCTATTGTGTGTAAGAATCTGCTGTACTGAATGAAACCCATGAGATGGGAATTTCTGCTATAGATGAATACAGCTAAGAGGATTGTTAGATCCAAGTTTGAACTATTGTGCATCTCTCGTTAACACCTTTTATACATATTACTTTCTAACATGTTTCTCACCTAATCCTCCTATCCTGCCTTCTACATATCCCAGTCTGTTCCCAACTGCTCCCTCAAGATCCCAGTGCAGCCTTGCGTAATAAAGGAAAATAATTTGTTCATTGTGTTGCTAAAGGTCTTGAGTTCAGTCTCCCAATTTCTCCAGGTAGAACTGAAGAAAGAGCTCTTTCTGAAAACCGCAGCCTTGGCAGTGATGTTAGTCACAAGAATGTGCTGGTCAGCCAAAATCAGATTTGTCCATTTGTCAACAGTTTCAAATTTTTCTGGAAAAATTCCCTTTTCAGCTTTTGGCTAAAAATCGAATGAGGGTGTGGAGTAGTATTTGGAGCACCAATGCAATGTTCAGCATTGCATAGATATCAGACACTTAAAACTCCTCCACACATTTTGGAGGCTTGTAATTTGATGTCCTGAGCCAAAGAGTTGATTCAGAGAAATACAGGTAGTCCTTGACTTATGACCACAACGGAGACCAAAATTTCTGTTGCTAAGCGAGACAAGTGAATCACTGCAGTTGGTGGGGGGGGGGTTGTTAAGTGAGTTTGGCTTCCCCATTGACTTTGCTTCTCAGAAGGTTGCAAAAGACCCCAGGACACTGCAACCATCATAAATATGAGTCAGTTGCCAAGCCTCTGAATTTTGACCATGTGGATGCTGCAATTGTTGTTAAGGGTGGTAAACGGTCATAAGTCATTTTTTTCAACTTTCTTGTAACTTGGAATGGGTCACTAAATGAACTATTGTAAGCCAAGGACCACCTGTAATCAAATGGGCTTCAAATCAGATATTCAAATCAGAATCACCCAATCCCAATAACTAAGACTAAAACAGATACTCTAAAAAGGATACAATGGTTCCTGTTTGGGATATATTGGAAAATATACAGCCTACGGGTGTATGGGTGTGGTGTGTG